GTTCTGGTAAGGCATCTGGCCCAAATGCTGCTAAGTTTAAGAGCTATTTGGGACTACTAGCTCGACACCATGTTCCGATTACTACTCCATCTTGGGATGATGTAGAGGAAACCGAGAAGAACCTCATGTGGCAGGATGTTCAGGTATTTCTATATTTGTTGAATACTTTATATATCATTATTAATTGAATTTAACATTTATTGGTCATTTCACAACAAAATTTTGATGTTCTTAACACCGAGGTGATGAGGAAGAAGATTTTATCCTCCATTGCCATTAGATGGAGGGACTTTAAGACTTTCTTGACACTGGAGTATGTATTTGGAAAGTTTCAAGATGAATCTCCCTGTCTAAAGTATCAAATTAGTGAGGAGGATTGGTTACAGCTTTGTGCCGCCCAAATGGACCCCTCTTGGCATGATAAAAGACAGGATGCCCAACAACGTCGAGGTTGAATGATGCACCCCATGTATTGTCACGAGGAAGGTATGCATTATTGGAGCAACGTCTCATGAAAGCCGAGAAGAGTCAGCAGGAGTTGAGTCTATCGACCTTGCATCTCCACCCCTCGCTATGAGATGTGGAAGGCAGCCCGGACAAAATCTGATGGACAAATGACTTCTGAGTCTGCACGAATCATTGCTCAGAAAATCGTAAGTTATAATGTCAATTTGAATTGATTTTAATGTGAAAGTTAGTGTATGACTTAATTATTGTTAATGTGTTGTAGGATGATTTAGTTGAGCAAAGCACCCAATGATCATTTATTCCTCGTGGTCGACAAGATATATTGGCGACAGCCATAGGAAAACCAGATTACTCAGGACGTGTGCGTGGTGCTAGTGGATCCTGGGGCCTTCGTGATTACTTTGGTCCAACATCACGAAGGACCACTACTGACTCTTGCAGCCAGGAGGCCTTGCATAAAATGGAGATGCAGTTTGAAGAAAAGTTAAATCAAATAAGGCAGTCCTTGCAGCAAGAGTTTGATGAAAAAATTGAATCTCTCGCTCGCTCTCAGCAAGAGACTCAAGGAACACCTCAAACAATTGAACATGATGTTGTTCGAGTCCGCACTAAAGGGAGTTGTGCTGCTACTACTACTGATCCTTCAGGAGAATATACTCAGACTGATGCATCACACCAGTGTGAGTTATATGTTGAGGATGACCCCCCGCGTCTAGTGGCTATTGGTCGAGTTTTTGAGGGTGGTTTAACCATCCATGGTGTCCCTCTACAGTGCAGATCGGACACGAGTAGTAGTTGATGAAGTTCATGATGTTAATGCTCCAAGTGCCTTTTCCTAATGAAGAGATTCAATTAGTGGGGCAGTAAGCGTGACATTCTTGGCTTGGGCAAGACGTTTGGTTATGCCACTATCAGACACAGACCAAGGTAATATATATATATATATATATATATATATATATATATATGTCTATTTTCTCTTTTCTAGTATTATAATTATATAAATGTTTAATTAATTGTAATCATTTTTTTAGGAGGACTTGCGTCGTGCTAAGCATAAAAAACAACCTATTATTGATGAGGATTTGACAGAATGTAATGATGATCACATCTCTATGTTGTTGACCATATTACCACGGTTGAGGAAGAGACCGTGTCAGATAATATGGGATGTTAGAGTGTTTAGAATTGACAACTCCAGTTGTTCCATTATACATTTCCTTGCCCGATGCTTTAGAAATTGCTTGGAGGAAATTGCATGTTAAACATTTCCATCATACAATTGTGGGCAATGTAAGTCATTCTCATTTATGTTTCTAAGATTATAATAATTATATTTAACTTATAATTAATTGTTTTAGGTACATTGACAAATTGAGTGTGGAACAAGAAAAATCGAAGTATACTGATTTATTGAGCCTCAATCCATCCAAAAATCTGGAAATACAAAGGTTGGAATCCAACAAGTATATGCAAATATGGATGAGTGACTCAAAAAGACATATATATTTGGCTCCATACATTGAAGGGTTAGTATTTTAATTTATATTTTTGTAACTAATTTTTATGTCATACAATGTAGGTCCCATTGACAGCTAATTATAATCATACCCTGGGATTACACTCGTGGTGTGGTTTTGTTCATTACATCGAAAACCGAGTCAAGAAATGAAAAGCTTATTACAAGGGTAACTTTATCTTTTATTCATTAATTATGTTTTTAAATTATAAATACATATTGAATAATATATGACTTTTTTCACTTAGAATCGTGTCTCGGAACTAATATTCTAAGTGGAAAACCTAGAACAAAGACTTTGCAGTTCATTTATCCTAAGGTTAGAAACTTATTTATATAAGTGAATACCATAATTATTGTTTGTATTTAAATTTTGAAAATAACATTATGTTTTTTTCATCATTTCAATGTAATAAGCAAACAGACTCGTTTGAATGTGGTTACTATGTGATGTACTGGATGAGAGCCATAGTTTGTGCGGGTATAATTGATTCTTGGACGGAGGTAATTGTTTTTAACATTAGTTAAGTTTATTTAACTTTATTCATGTTGCATGTTTACAAGAGTCAAATTAATGTTTCAGGTATTTCAAGATCCATCTCCATTACCAGAATATGATATTACACAAATTAGAGAACAATGGGCAAAATTTTTTGTTCAACAATTCTAGTACATAATTTTTTAAGTTCTTGTTCATATTATATTGTGTGTATTATGTAGTTTAGGTAACTTAGTTTGTATTAACTTTTAGTTTGTAATAGATTTTTTAGTTTGTATGTTTGTATTATATTGTTTTATTATGTATTTTGAATTATATAATATTATATTTTAAATTTTCTAGCTAAAGAAAATTGAACCTCTGGACTATCTGGTTGTAATATATATTTGCAGGTTTTAGTTGTAAAACAGAATCAACCCAATTTAAAAAAAAAAACAGCAATTTTACATCGCATATACCCATACGCGACGTAAATTTACGTCGCATATTGGTATATGTGACGTAAATTTACGTCGCATATACCATATGCGACGTAAATTTGCTGTTTTTTTTTATAATTTCTGAAAAGTTTTTACGTCTATTTAGTGGTATATGCAACGCAAAATTACGTCGGGTCTTGATAGCTGATGTAAATTTATGTCGAGCTAAAGGGTCTGACGTAAATTTACGTCTCCCATTTTAACGTCAGTCTTAAATACGACGTAAAAAGCCTTAGATACCTGACGTAAAAGCCCATTTTTGCACTAGTGCATCTAACATAATGGGATTTCCCATATCAGATACAAATGTTATTATTGATAATCCAGTCCTTCTAAAAGTAACCGAGTTGTCTATAACGTTCGTGTTCCAAGTAGTTTCTGGAAATAATGCAGTGATGCTTGCAGAGAAGGGATTTGGAATATTTGGCGCCTCCATGTACTTAAGTTGGTGTTTAAATAAAACATGCACAAAAGATCACAATAGAGAGTGAGAACATTTATCATTTACAATAATACAATCTTATAATATATAGATATATATGTTTCAACTTCCCCAACACATTCTATTTTATGAAGACTTAAATTAAATTTGTAGTGACTAGTCAGGATAAATGAACCCAATTTTAATCACTATCGATGATATTTACTCATTTAAATCCCCAAAGTCCAACCTCCATCTACACTATCATCAAATCTTCACAAATAGATATTATTATAATTGAATAATATAAATATACATTAATAAATAGGATCACTGCACTATTAGAGATAAAATAAAGTAAACAAACATGATCAGTACATAATTGGAGATAATTAAAATAGGACTAGTGCAAGATTAAAGATAAAATAAAATAAACAAATAAGACCAGTACATAACTGGAGATAATTAAAATAGGACCAATGCAAGACTAAAGATAAAATAAACAAGCATAAGCCAGGACTATTACGTAGTTAGAGGTAAATAAACAAATAATTAAATAAATAGAATGAGGTTAGGGACACACTCCATAATTATAAGCAAAATAAAATAGATTTAATGATAATATTCTCATCTCATACCTTAATAACTCCAGATGAGATATCAAAACTTTACAGGGACGATTTTATCTTTGTCTTTCTTTTCTCTCCTTATCTTTCTCCTTTTTTTTTCTCTTCCTTGCTCTCTCTCTCTTTCTCTCTCTCACTTTCTCTTTCTATTTCTCTCTCATTCTTTCTCTTTTTATATTCTCTCTCGTTCTTTCTCTTTTTGTTTTTCTCTCCTACTTCCTATGGATCTTCTCCCCCGTTCCTTTTTATAACAATTTTTATTTATTTATTTATTTAATTATGTAACTATAAATACAATAATTATGATTTTGATAAGGTTTATTTTTTAAGATATGATAATATTTATCTTTTATATTAATTTAAAATGTTACACAAATCTTCCATGCTCCCTTTTTTGTCGAGGGATCCAAACAGACGCTAAAAGAGTTATGAAACATTTAATTAAAAACAATAGAAATTTATTTATTTATTTAATTATGTAACTATAAATATAATAATTATGATTTTGATAAGGTTTATTTTTTAAGATATGATAATATTTATCTTTTATATTAATTTAAAATGTTACACAAATCTTCCATGCTCCCTTTTTTGTCGAGGGATCCAAACAGATAGTTCTGGTTGAAAAAAAGAAAAGACATGAAATGAAAGTATTTAAATCTATTAAAGAAATACATCTAGTTTATAGTACAAAAATGTTAATTAGTTGAACGAAACAGTTAGTTAAATTAATTAGATCAGATTTTATACTTTTACTTAGCAAAATTCTTTTACGTTGAGCAAATTAATACAATCAAGAATATATGATATTTGTGGTTAGTTTTTCGCGGTGTTAGTGGAAAAAGATCCTACTTGAAGGCTATTCATTCAACATACCATCTTTATTCAAAAGTGAGAAGTTTGAGTACCAAAAGCAACACATGATTACCCTTTTCGAACCATGTCACATGTGCCAACACATATATTTGTTCTTCCAAAATTTGGTGACACGGTGTTTGTTTTCTCCTCCATTACTCCTTGCAGTGTCGTCTCTCCTTCCATTATCATCTTTCTTGTGCCCAAAACTCAGTCCATGGTGTGTCTTCACATCAACTTTAATGAGCAAGAGCGACTCTCGTCTTCGCACCCTGGTAGGTTCTTTCTGTTTATATAATAGCTCGTATGTAGAGGAAAAATGTATTAATATTATACATGTGATATTATATGCCACTGTTGACTCGCTAATACATCTTGTCTTATGTTTTAAGTATATATTGAATTGTGATTAATTTAATGTCATCGTTTTGATTTTGTATTAGCTGAATAATATGTGAAATTTTATGAAACAAAAGAAATGTTAATTAACAAATATATATTAATCAATTATAAAAAAGAAATGCTTTTAGATATAAACAAAAGCGGAATATTAACAAGAGTTATAAGTAAAAGAGGAATCAAATTTTCAACTTTTAATTAGTTTTTCAAATATTACTTGACATTCATGACTAAAAATTGACCTTAATTAAATGTGAAGTAGTGATGATATGTTGACAATACTTTAAAGTGCATATATATTGCCTATACACCATATGCGTGGTTTCGATATTGCTCCCATTAATTATGACTGAGTGAGTGGCAAGAACTCTAAGAAGAATACTCCTTTTCATTTAAAGCCAAACAAAAGAGATAACGATGAAAACTCCATTAATATATACTTGGTGTACGTCAATTCCAAAATGTTCTTCCAATTCTCTCTATGGAGAACTAATCAATCACGTGCATCAAAGAAATATAAGTTGAAATCTTATATATTAATAAAAAATAAAAAAAGTTAAGTAATTAATAAATAAGAAAAATTTTATAATTTAGTATTTTAAAAATTAACTCGCATTCTATTTATATGATTTACTCATATTTTATTTATAAAAATTAATATTATATTTTCTTATATAATTATTCTTTATAAATATCTTTTTAATGTTAATCTTTCGTGAGTCCTAGAAATATCTTTTACTTTCTACTACTTTTTGAAATGGTTGATATTTATCATATCTATTTCTATATATTAGTACTTTCATGCATAATAATTAAGCTTTGATGGGTAATGTAATGTTTAGAAATCGAATCTATAAATCATCAATTATTTGAGACATTTTCAAATATTAAACGTGGACATTTCTCAGCAAGATTTTCCTTTACAATCAGATGACAATATGATTATAATCTGCAAAATCATGCAAAACTATTTAAGTTATATGTAACAAAATATTCCAGCTAATTTTTTTTTTATTGGTAGAAAAGTTTATTTGATTTTATAATAATCCGTATTTGATTAAAAAAAAAATTAATAGTTTGCAGGATTCTTGAGACCTTAAAATGATTAAATTCTTTATACTTTGTGTTTTTTTCTTTTCAAGGTTGTATGTGAGTAACATTTGGTCAAATTCAACAATAAAATCCAAAAAGGAAAATGATATTGAACTAGATTTTTGTGTTTTCTTTTTTAATCAAATTAACTTCATAGATCGAATTAGATTTAGTTAATTCAGTCACATATTTAAAAACAAAATGTTGTTATTAAAATTTATAAATTTAAAATATCTTTTTATGACATTTTAAAATGTTTTTTTGAAAAAATAATATATTATTTAATAATAAAATAATTTAATATTTCAAAATATATATAATTAATAAAAATAATCAAATAAATTAAATAACAATTATAATATTAATATTGTAATTATGTAATAATTTTACTCTTATTGAATTGAATTTCTACTTTAGTAGACATAATCTATTATCTAATAATAGATCGAATTTGATTAAATTTTTATTCAATCATAAAAGAAAATAAAAAAAATCTCATCAACTTAATTGTATCTTGGAAGGTGAGAAGCCAATCCCAAAATTTGGTAATTTTAAATGTAAATTTATTTTGACCTTAAATTTAATAATTATTTAATGTATTTATTTGTAATTCATCATTTTAATATTTTATATTTTAATATTTATTTATTATTTATTAATAATTTATTATTTGATCTAAAATCCTTAATTAACATCCGCCACTTACTGAATTTTTTACTAAAATAATATTATTATATTATATATATACATAACATAATCTCCGATGAAATTATTTACTTAACTCGAACCTCTCATAAAATTATTTACTTAACTGAACCTCTTTTATTATTGTACTTGGAATTAGGTTTCCGTAAACCGAATTCCAACTTTAAACTTACCACTTTTTTTAAATAAAAAAATTAAATAAAATATGTAATTAAAAATAATAAAATTAATACTAAAAATAAAATTTTAATTTTAAAATTTAAATAATATTTATATAAAAAATAATAAAAATAATATATTTTTAAATATATATTAAATTATTTAAATATATTTAAATAATTATTAAAAATATTAAATAATAATTTTTTTATTATATATTTTTATATATTTTTTTATTTTTGAATAGGAAATTTAAAATTTATATATTTTTTTATTATATGAATTATTTAAGTTATACTTTTAGAAAAAAATAGAATAAATAAAAATTTAATTTAGGTAATATATTAAAAAAATAAATATTATATTATAAAAATTTATGTAATAGTTTTTATTTGATAAATTATAAATATTATATTAAAAAATTCATGCTAAAATTATTTTTTTTTAAATAATAAAGTAAAAATATTATTTAATTAGTTAAAAATTATTATTATTAATATAAAATAAACTTAAAAATAAAAAATAATAAAAATTGACAGAATTTAATGTATAATATTAAAAATAACACAATCATTGATAATAAAAATTGAAAAATAAAATTATTGATAATAATGTTAAGAAAATTTTAATCTCAAAAGTGGTTTCCAGTTCCACAACGATCACAACATCTATTACGTTTTGGATTTCGTCGATGTGGTTGTTCTTGAATTTCGGGAGAAATTTGTGGAGGGTTTTCTTCTTTATAAACCTCTATTATTTTCACTCTATAAAAATCTTTCTATCTTTATTATTTTTCTTTAATATCATGTTCTATAATTTTTATTTTGCTACTAATAACTTATTTTTAATTTTACTTTTAATATTTTATATATTAAATTTATCAATTTTTTTCTAAAATTATAACTTAAATAATTCATATAATAAAAAAATATATAAATTTTAAATTTCCTATTCAAAAATAAAAAAATATATAAAAAAATTATTATTTAATATTTTTAATAATTATTTAAATATATTTAAATAATTTAATATATATATATATATAATTAAATAATATATTATTTTTATTATTTTTTATATAAATATTATTTAAATTTTAAAATTAAAATTAAAATTTTATTTTTAATATTACTTTTATTAATTTTAATTATATATTTTATTTAATTTTTTATTTTAAAAAAAGTGGTAAGTTTAAAGTTGGAATTCAGTTTACGAGAAACTGAATTTCAATTAAAACAGTAAAAAAATTCAGTTAAGTAAATAATTTCATAAAAGGTTATGTTATATATATATATATATATATATATATATATATATATATATATATATATAATAATATTATTTATCTAAAAAAGTCCCTAAGTATATAGCGAATTATCTTATGAAATGATCTCACCGTAGAATACTCTTTACTCCAAGTAACTATTTAGTCAAGCTTGGTAGTGTTGTGAAGTGAAGCCACCACCATGCAGCGTTGCTTATCTTATCCAGTGGTTTCTTCATTAACTTGAGTTTTCTTATTGAGGTGAATAATCATGTGCACAATTTAATGCCAAAACATAGTTTGCTGATATGTCTGCTACCAAAACAAATGGTTAGTTTGCATGTCTTCCACTAAAAATAAAAGGACTTGGCTTTGTGCAATTTGAACAAGTGCTACAAGTAACTTCACTCTCACTATATAGTTGTTTCCACCATTGTTTGTGATTAGAAATTTCTCTTCTTCCACTAACCAATGCAACTATTTGTAGAACGAGTTTCTGGTATAAAACCTATCTTTGACGTCAATATTAAAGAGATTTGTAATGTTAATTGTTACCATTGGGCACTACAAGAAAAAACGCTATTAGCGACCGGAAAAATCGGTCGTTAATGGCCAAAATTCGGTCGCTATTCTGTTAGCGACCGAAATTAGCGACCGAAATGGTTGGTCACAAAAGGGCAAGTTGCTAATTTGTTAGCGACCGATGAGGTGATCGCTAAAGTGGTCGCTAAATAATTTGGTTACTTATTAATTGAAGACCAAAATAGCGACCGAAATTAATATAATAAATCGGTCGCTAAATCCGTGGTAAAGTTTTAAAAAATAGCGACCGATATATTCGGTAGCTAATATATTAATATAATTATTTAAATAAAAATTAAAATCGGTCGCTAAATTGGAGACAAAGTTAACAATAATAGCGACGGATATAATCGGTCGTTAATATATTAATTGAATTATTTAACTAATAATTTAAATCGGTCGCTAAATCGGTCGCTAAATTTGAATTGTATATTATAATAAATTTGTAGCGACCAAAATTTCGGTCGCTAATCTAACCAAATCTGAAAAATTTTCGTTTAAAATTTTGTATATCCAATTTGACAAAATTTGTACCTGCTTAATTCATCCAAATATAACACAAATAAAACTTAAGAACTTAACAACTAATCAAGATTCAAAGTCTTAATATGCTCGAACAGCTGGCGGTATCCAGATTCTCGTATCCTTACCATTCCTAACTTTGTTCATTGAGTTTTTTAAAATTCGAGAACCTTTCTTATCAAAAACAGATCTTATGGCTTGCTCTTGTTCCACATCCCATATATACTCTTTCTGCATAAATAAAATACACAACAAACATTTAATTTATAAGAATGAAATGACATTGTTTAATGTAACTATAATTCAAATTACCTTGAACTCTCCAAACCATCTATCTCGAAGCTCAAGTGAAACCTTTCTCCAAGTGGGACTTGGTTCATCAAATTTTTGTTTGATGATTCTAGAGATTATAGCAGGAGGACCATTTGCTGGTATAAACCTGTGTTGAAACATATTGTGGGATTGATATTATTAAGAAATTTCGTATTAAAGAATTATAATTAGCATAAGTGAAACTGCATTATTCACTTTATGTGATGCACTACTTATGTTTTTCTATTTTTGCAAATTAACTACAACAATCAGCATAAGTGAAACTGTATTATTCACTTTATGTGATGCACTACTTATGTTTTTCTATTCTTGCAAATTAATTACAACAATCAGCATAAGTGAAACTGCATTATTCACTTTATGTGATGCACTACTTATGTTTTTCTATTTTTGCAAATTAACTACAACAATCAACATAAGTGAAACTGCATTATTCACTTCATGTGATGCAGTACTTACGTTTTTCTAATACATTTTTTCTAAGGTATTTATCCACTACTTATGCAGTATGTATGATACAGACCACCAAATAATTGTATAAGTAAACCCAATAATTATGAAATTTCTTTTCACTAAGATCCAACAGATAATTAAAACAAATTACAAATGGTTAACCTGAGGGCGTACAGTCTCAACAAGTTCCCAAATTGGTCTGTCAAGCACCACCAAATCCGCAAGTAAGAGGGATCGAAGAACCTATCTACTTCACAAATCCACCTACAACAAACGATAAAGAAATTCTCGTCAAAATTATCTCTCCTATATTATTCACAATGCAAGAGAATAACAAGATATACATTCAAACAAGCCAAACCTTGGTTG